CCTACAGACCTTCCTCTCTGGTTTTTTTCTTTCTTTTTGTCTTTTTGAGACAGGGTTTCACTATGCAGTTCAGGCTGGCTTTGAGCTCACTTTGTAGCCCAGGCTGGTTTTGAACTCGCAACAATCCTCCTGCCTCAGCCTCCTGAGTGCTGGAATTACAGACGTGACCACCACGCCTGGCAGTTTTCTGCTTTTCACGCAATTGACAAGGCCCAACTATGTCGGGGAGGGTGGGCTGGGCCCAGTGACGTCGGCCTTCTCAGCTTCCTTTCATGGCGCACATGCAGCGCCTCCAGACCCCGAGGGACGAGGGCACAGGGGGGAGCAGGCCTGGGTGCTGGAGCCCGACGGACCCGAGGGGACTCAGAGGCCTGGGCGGTTCTTCCTGCCGAGGACGCGTCCTTGGGACGCACGGGGTGAACTAGGTCGCGTCCATAAAACCTGCCAGGGCTTTGGAGGAAAAGCATTTACGAGGCCTTCAAGGGCATAATGAGCCTGGTCGCGTCAGGGTCGCTGCGGATGAGGAGTCCACGGCCCAGGCGAGGGCGGCCTGCTGGGCGTCGCCCCGCTGTGGGAAGCAGCTCCCCTGCCTGTGCGGGGTGGGGAGGACACATCCTCAGGCCCCGCCTTTGCCCCGTCACGCCCTGCTGGTCACTGGAGAGCTGGGGGGACAGGGGCGGTCGCCCCGCAGCCTTCTCCACTGCACCCGACCGTAATGAGCATAGGCAGCGCAGAGCAGCACCCGGCACCGTCCGGTACCGAGCCGGCGAGCGTTTACTGCGGTGCCTCGGTTTCCCCTCGGTGTCAGCCTGGGGCACTCACTCGTCACTGTCTCCGACCCCGGCCCAGGACACCCAAGGCCGAGGAAAGCCCCTGCAGGCTGCGCCCCTCCCAAGCCTTCACCTGGTTTTATCTTCTCCGAGCACCAGGCAGACGCCATCTAACATGTTTCTATTTCTTGGTCTATTTTCTGTCTCTCCCATTACAACTCCACATCTGTTAAGGGCAGGGTCCTGTCTGGTGCACTGGCACATGCCTGTCATCCCAGCACCTGGGAGGCTGAGGCAGGAGGATCCTTGTGAATTGGAGGCCAGCTTGGGCTCCACGTGACACTCTGTTTCAAAACAAAATAATAATACATTATCCTTCCCTTCTGCCACATTTCCTATCTGGAAAGGATATCTGCATCGGCTTTCTCTGCAGTTCTAGCAGAGGTCACTATAACAGGCTCACGACCTCTCCTCTGCTTTGTCTATTTCTCAGCTTAATGCGCCCCAGCCCTACAGAAGGGAAAGGGACAATTCAGGAAGCCTCGCTGTCCACCACCACTGCACCAGGCAGCTGCTGTCCCGCCCCTCTGCTCCCCACAGGACGCAGGCAGAGACGTCAGACCCGAGTTTTACAGAGGAGAAGCGCAGATCGAAGGGAGCGGCCTCTCCCTGCGCCCGCACTGGCTTCAGAGCCCGAGTCCCACCTGCACCATCAGTGACGGCATCAGTGACGGCCGGGCGGGTGACCCTCAGCTCGGCCGTCCTGGGTCTGGAGCCGCAAAGGCCATTCCGGGACGGCAGGGATGTCAGCACCACAGCACGAGTCGTCCTGTCTCCACACTCCCTGTGAACCGAGCGGGTGCAGCCCCGGACACTCTGTCCCTCCAGCTTGGTCTCCTCTGACGCTGGCAGACAAAGGAAGGAGGATGGAGGACGGCAGCTCTAAGAAAAGACAGGGGAGCCAGGCGAGGCGGTGCACACCTGTAATCCCAGCACACAGGGGGCTGAGGCAGGAAGAGCGCAAGTTCCAGCACAGCCTGGGTAGTTTATCGACTTAGAGAGAGCGTGTCTCAAAATAAAAAGTAAAAAGGGTTGGGGATGCAGCTTTGTGCAGCGGTCCTGGGTTTAATCTCCATGAGACAGAGAAAGAGAGAGAGAGACAGAGACAGAGAGAGAAAAGGATTTGACCCAATACTTTCCTCTCGCTCTAGCTTCTCCACACTCCTGCCACCCCAGTTGCTAGGCCACCACCACCAATCCACACTTGTTAGCCAAGAGCGGTGGTGCACGCCTGTAATCCCAGCACTCACGAAGCTGAGGCAGGAGGATCCCCAAGAGTTCAAGGCCAGCCTTAACTACATAGTGAGATCCTGTCTCAAAACAAGAACAAACAACAACAAATAACAAATGCGGACTTTCTGTCTGCCCTCATTCTATATTCCGATGGGGCCTTCTTCCTCAGAGGGAACAGGCTTTGGCAGAAACAGGAGTGCAGAGTATAGATAAGAGAAGCACCAAGCTGCTCTGGAAACCCGACGGATGCAAATTTAAGAGCCAGCCCACAAACCTCGAGAGTTTTAAAGAGGAAGGGCTGTGGCCACAACATTTTTAAATATGCCCCTTCCTTCGTTGGACTTGAGATTTTAATGCAGTTCACGAAAAGAAACGTTCCATTTCAGATAAAAAATAATAACAAAGGGCCAGGGATATAGCTCGGTGGCACAAGTGCCTGCCTGGCAAGTGCAAGGCCCTCAGTTTGATTCTGGGTACAAAAAAAACCAGTAATAATAGCAAAAAGCAACAGTAATAGCAACACTGGTGTTGGTGTTTGAGAAGAACGTGGTGCCTTCGTGGACTAGAATGACCTCGCTCAGGCCCTTGTTTGTATCAGAAAGGCTTCTCTCACCCTGGGATTTTGAACACTCAAAAGCGACCAGTCTGGAAGCTAAGGGGAGGGCACACTTGGAGCAGAGGTCGCACGGGAGACGCTGCGTTAGGGCGCACCCCCAGCTGCACAGTGTGACATCTTGGAAAGCTCTCACCATCGAAAGCTGGGCAGCGACTCTTGTTTTATTCTGTAGCTCCTTCTGTGGCAAGACCTAACTTGACCCGGGCTCATTTAGTAGAAAAACCGGAACGGAGCCCTCGTGCCATCTGACTCCAGACAGTGTTATTTCCCACTTAGCATGAATATTCACAGGCCCGCTGCAGAAACACCGACCACGAAGACCACAAGTCTCCCCTGGACTCCGCTGGAGTGTCATAGGGTGCGCATATTGTTTGCATTTTGAAACCTCCGGACTCCACAAAGTTTGGGAGACGCAACTGGGGACCACTGTTCTGTCATCTCAACTTTGTGACTTAGGGAGACCTGTCATTCATAAATAAATAAACAAATAAATAACCAAGCTGGGGACGTAGCTCAGTGTGAAGGCCTGGCTTCCATCCCCAGTACGAAACAAAACAAAAAAATTAAAGTAGGAAAATATCTTAAAGATGCTCCAAACGCACAGAGGGCTGCCAGCATCCACGCATCAGTCTCTGATTCTGTTGGGGAACGAGACCTCGGGCCTGAATCACCTGCTTCCGAGCCCGGCTCCTCTCTCTCTATTTCTGCCCCAGCCTCCTGAGGGCTGGGCCCACAGGTGCAGCCACCGCAGCCACGTGAGCGGGTTCTAGTCCACTTCTCTCCGTGGCTGAGAGAAGCCCAGGCTGTGCATGGGCCCTGAGAACCGCGATCCTGTCTGTCTGTCTGTCTGTCTGTCTGTGCGGATCTCTGTGCCTGTACGTCTCAGGGTCCATAGGAATCTCTATGTGAATATAAATACGCATACATAATCTTCAACGCAAAAACTGTGGCTGTGATTACCTTAAAGCAGACTTTAATAACAGCTCTGTCAACGCGTGGTAAAGGCAAAGTACTGTCTGCGCACAAAACAATGGCCGGCCTGCGTTACTGAGCGACGGTCGCTGTTCCCCGTCAGTCCGTGTTGGCGGTCGCGTGCGCGTCACCTGCGGGGCTGGGGCCTGCGCACGGCTCATCTTTACTCCTTTTCCATTGCTTCCCCTCCTCCCTCTATCTCTGGGTCCCCTTCCCATTTGTTTTTTGGGTTTGTTTTCATTTGTTTGCTTGCTTGAGACAGGGTCTCACTCTGTAGTTCTAGCTGGCCTTGAGCTCACTACATAGCCCCAGACTGGCCCCCAACCCCCAGCAATCCTTCTGCCTCAGCCTCCTGAGTGCTAGGATAGCAGGCGTGCATCACATCTGGCTCCCTCCCCATGTCAGAAAAAGATCTATCTCCCTACTTCTTATTGTCTTTTATTTGGTTCCTCATTTATAATTTAGATTTCTCATATAACGGATAACTATGCGATAGTTAAGCTCATGGGTCTGATTTATTTTACCTAACATTATGGTCTCGAGGTGCGCCCAGTTTCCTACAAATGACTCAGGCTTATCTTTCTTCATGGCAGAATAGTGCTCTGTTGGGTGTAAATATATTTTATCTGCTCACGCATTGATGGACACGTAGTTGCTTCCAAGATTCATCGTGAACTGTGCTGCTATAAACACGGGCGTGCGTGGGTCATGTGATACGACATCTTTAACCATTTGGGGAGGGCACTGAGAACGGGAGTAGCTGGGTCAAATGCTGTTTCTAGTTCCAGTGTCCTGAGGAATCTCCGTACTGACGTCCACAGCAGTCATAGCAGTTTACACAGAACACTGCAGGTGGTGTGGAAAGGCCCTGGAATGGAACGCGAGCTTCCGAGTGCACGAGGGTCATGATCGTGCTTCAGGATATCTTGAGCTGGACAAACATATCCTCCATCTGAGGGAGTGTGACAAGCTGCTTGAGGGCCTTGGCTAGGCCACCTACACTGCAGGGTCCTCTCCTAAAGCTCCGTGCTCAGCTCTCAGCTGTCCCTATTTTGTTCACCTTCAAATTTTTTTGGGGGGTGGGGAGAGTTGAGAGAGCACCCCGCTGTGTAATCCAGGCTGGTCTTGAATTCAGTGTAGCTCAGGCTGAGCTCTAACTTGCAGCGATCCTCCTGCCTCAGCCTCCTGAGTGTGGGGACGAAGGGCCTGTGCTCGATGCACCTGCAGCAACGCTATTGGTCAGAGTCCTGAAGACCAGCCCGGTTTGAAAGATGAGAAAATGAGACTCCGCCTTTGTGTGTGTTTGTGACATCGTCTCCTCTCGCTATGCAGTGCAGGTGTGCGCCACCATGCCCAGCGCCTTTGTTTCTAATTGGGAAATCAAATCTCCGCGCATTTATCGCGAACGGCATGCTGTTCTGAACCTGCAGACGGTGGCTGGTGAGCTGGCTGGAGCATGGCCTCCCCGAGCCACAAGGCCCGCCTGTCAGCGAGGATGTGCACGCAGCACGGACAGCATAGCTGTGCTGTGGGGGAGACTTCCTGCGGCAGGGCCAAGGGCTCAGCACTGCTCATGGGGGTGTCGTGTCCCCGTGTTCCTCCGGGCGTCCCTGAAAGTTCTGCCAGTGAGTGGGCGGTAGTGAGCAGATGTGAAGAGAGAAGACAGCCTCAGAGCACCAGCCCTATCTTTAGATCTATCTGCCCGGCAGTCTGTCTGTCTATGTATCATCTATCTGAGACGGGGCAGGGTCTCGCTACGTAGTCCAGGTTGGTCTCAAACTCATGGTGATCCTCTTGCCTCAGCCTCCTGAGGCTGGGATGACAGGCGTGTGCCACCACGCCTGGGTCCTAATAATTATATCCCTGTTCAACAAATAAGCAATCTAAGGCTTGGTGCCGATGACCACAGGGCGGTGGCTCGGTGATGAGCTGGGGTCCTGCAGCCTCAGCATTAGACGAGGCTCCGGCACCTCCCGAGGGCCCAGTCACTCCTGGTGGCTCACAGCGCCTGGCTTGCGGTAACGGAAGTCCTCGCGCTGATCCGGGGTTCCCAGAGAAGCCGTGGCGCCCCAGCCCAGTTCCTAGTGCGTCCTTTCCCTTCCTTAAATAAGCTCTGGGCTCTTCTGCAAACATCAGACAGGATTTTACCCACTTATCCCTCACCTGGAAAGCACCCTCATTTGGGGTGCACGCCTGTAACACCAGCAGGCTGGGAGGCTGAGGCGGGAGGATCGCCAGGGTGAGCCCACTCTCAGCAGTGCAGTGACTCTGTGAGACCTCGTCTCCAGATGGGATAGGGCCACAGGCGTGAAGACTCGAGTTTGATCCCCAGTACAGAGGAAAAGAACAAGTCCACGCAGACACAGAGACACCCGGCTAGTGTGAGGGGCACTCAGAGCAGAGGCAGGATGCTGCGGCTGAGCTGTGGCTTCTGCAGTCTCTCAAGCACTTGCGTCCGTCTCCAGCGTGGTCTGTGAAATGGGTCGAGGACAGGTAACGCTGGCCTCCCCTGTTCACTGTTGGGAGCAGTGCGTGCGCCCCCCCAGCGCTCCCCTGGTGCCTGCACGCCGTGTGCTGGCAATCAGCAGGTGTCCGGAGCTACGAAAAGGGGGCCCACCCTGCTCGGACGCACAGGCCTGCCCGGCCTTCACAGCAGTCCCGCGCGAGGCCTTGCTCTGGGCAGGAGCAGCCACACACCTGACTGCCAGTATTTACAGATCACCAGGGGGAGCACACGCAGGGACGGTGCAGCGTGGAAGGGGAAGTCGGGGTCTCAGAGAGCGGCTCGCAAGGGCGGCTTCTCCCGGGGAGCAGGAATGTGCTGCGGACTCAGGAGGACAGGGTGTGCTGTCACCTTGCACAGGCCGGGGCCTGCACAGCTCACTGGGAAGGAGGAGAGCGGGTGTTCTGGTGCCTGGAGGGCTCGGGACAGGAAGGTGGCGGGCGCAGCTGACAAAGTGCTTGGGAGCTTTTCAGAGGATGCTCGGTTTACCCTTACGGGAAAGAAGCCATGGACACTTCCCCTGCGGGAAGGAGTGATCACACAGTCAGATCGCTAAGATCTAAAGTCCTCCTGAGGGAGGAAGGCAGCGGGCTGCGGGCCCTGCGGGTAGAGAGGAGGTGACAGGAGGAAGAATTAGAGCCCTGGACAGATCCGAGCGGAAGGGAAGGGCAGCAATAGCCCAAGGTGTCCTCAAAAGTGGGGGACTACTACACAGAGGCCAGTCCATACACAAAGACACGTTTGCTACAGCTAGCTGGTGAGAAAGGCAAGTTCATGCTGGGCAGGGTGGCTGACGCCCATGATCCTAGCACTGGGAGGCTGAGGCAGGAGGATCACCATGAGTTCGAGGGAGCCTGGGCTACATAGTGAATCCAAGACTAACCTGCACTATAAAGTGAGACTGTCTCAAAAAAAGAAAACAAAAAAGGCAAATTAAAACAACACTGAGCCTCCACCTACTCTAGAAAGAATGGCCATCATCAGAAAATCAGATGACAGCAAATGCTGCTGGGAAAAAGAGCCCTCTGGCATTGTCTCTGGGAATGTAAATGCAGGCAACCACTATGGAACTCAGCAGGCAGATTCCTCAAAAGCCTAGAGCTAGAACTCCTCTCCTCCGGCTATTCCCCTTCTGGGTATCTCCCCGAAGAGTTAAAGACTCTTGCCTATCACAGAGATGCTTGCACACTGTGACCCACTTTCACAGCAGCACAGCTCCTAATAGCTAAATCTTGGAAATGGCCTATAAGCCTAGCGACAGATGAACCGATAAAGAAAACATGGTATTCACACACAGCGGAGTACTCCTCTGCCAGTAAGAAGAATAAACATGAGTCGTTTCTAGGAAAATGATGTTAAGTGAAATAATTCAGACACCTAAGCTCAAGTATTGCATGGTGTCTCTTATATAAGAAACCAAGCTATAAGTAAATCAAAGAGCAAAATAAAAGCCAGATAATAGGAAACAAAGAGCCGAAGATTTTGCAAATGGGAAGTGCCCAAGAGATGTGGGAGAGGGAGGGGAAAGGACTTTAAAAAGAATTAGGGGCGGATAAGGGGAAGAGTATGAAGCTTCCAAACTGTGCGCCCTGAGCTCAGATCTGGTCCCTGCCCTTGGCTGGTTTCCGGTCTGGCGTGGGTGACGCTTGTCATCTGCAGTTCTCGATGACTACAAAGCATGTAACGCGCCTCGCGCAGGGCCTGGCATGTAACAAGCACTTGGTACACGGTAACTGTGAATGTTGTGAGGCTGGAAAATCACACACGGTCAGAGGTTCACACCAGAGAGCAAGCAGCTCTCTTTGACTATATTAGGGGCTTTCTTTAAAAAAAAAAAAAGACGACTTTTTTTTGAGACAGAGTCTCGCTGTGCAGTCCAGGCTGGCCTTGAGTTCCCTATGTAGCGCAGACTAACCTCAAACTCATGAGATATTCCTGCCTCAGCCTCCCAAGTGCTGGGATTACAGGTGTGTGCCACCACGCCCAAGCGAGAAAACCAAAACAAACGCCTTTTATCAAGATAGATGTCACGGGGCTGGGGATTTAGCTCAGCGGCAAAAAGCGCCTGCCTGGCAAGCGCAAGGTCGTGAGTTCGGTTCCTGGTACCGGAGAAAAACCAAAAAAAAAAAGATAGATGTCACAGGCTACCCCATTCACCCAGAGTGTTGTATTCAGAGCTGCATAATCACTGTAGTCTAACATTTTCTTCGCCCCAAAGGAGCCCATTCCTTTAGCAATCCTCGGCTCTCCCTCGCACCAACCCTCCACGGCCTAGTCCCACATCTGCACCCTTACCTGGCAGACTTGCCCCTCGAGCCTGCTGCTGAACGGCTAGAGTCGGTTCCACCTTGTGAACATGCACAGGCCGGGTGGGCGCTATCTAGCAAGGAGCCGACCCCAGACTGCAGTCCCAATGCAGCCTCCAGAGCTGTCCCCAAGGGGAGGAAATGCCACTGGGGCAAGAAGCCCGCCAGCTGTCACTCCTGGATTTCTGTCTGGCTGAAACCTCTGCACATGCGACCTGCTCCCCGGATCCTGCATGGTCCCCACGTCGCCGCCTGACACACCGGCTCCACCATCCTGCCCGCCCTCCCAGGCGTTCGCTTCCGCCATCCTCATTCCGAGCTCTGAGAGGCAGCCCGCAGCCAACAGCACCATCTCCAAGACGGCCGAGCTGCTGAGACCACGGCTGCCACTGCTCGGGTCCTTCCCCCCGCGAGTGCTGTCCTTGGCATGCGACACTGCTTCACGTCTTCAGGTCTAGGGACTCACCCGGGCACGTTCTGCTGTGACCCCGCCTTGGAGATGGCTTTTGCATGCGCATAGAACATATGAAAAAATTGATAAGATAATAAAAAGATAAATGCACCAGGTAAAGAAAAAAGCATCTGAAGAGACATTTTCCAAAGAACATGTGGAAAGCGCCAGTAAGCGTGTGAAAAAGCAGCCCAGCAGCACTCACATCAGGGAAACACAAATCCCACACAAGGAGGCCGCACCCCAGCCCACCAGCGGGCCTCGCAGCCGAACAGAGGTGTGGAGGGACTGGCGCTCTCATCGTCGCGGGGGGACTGTGGAATGGTGTAGTCTGCTTGGAAAATAGTTCGGCAGTTCCTCAAAATGCAAACTATTGAGTTTCCACGTGAACCAGCGAAGCCACTCTCCACAGAGCTAAGAGCTCTGAACCCGCTCTCCACCCGATCCCAGAAACAGACACCCAGGCAGCACTGCGCATGGCAGCCCGGAAGTCTGAGTACCCAGGTTTCCCGCACACAATGAAGGGAGAAATGAAATGGCGATCACTCACGCGGTGAAGTCTCTCTCGGTCACACGGAGGAACGAGGCACTCACTCACCCGCCAACACGCGGGAACCATGAACACGTGAGAAGCCAGCCAGAAACGTGCTCCCAGGCTGTGATCCTGCTTATAGCACGTGTGCAGAAGGGCACACAAGGTGGGAAAGTACTCCACGGTTGCCTAGTATGGATTTCTTTCGGAGGCGATAAGAACGTTTTAAAATTAGCCATGGTGGCCGGACAACTTGATAAACAGACTGAACAGCACTGAGTAGTATCGTTGTGACGAGTGAACTGTATACATACGGATCACATCTCAATGAAGCTCTTTTCCTGCTTTTAGTTTTGTTGTTTTAAAGAGCACAATATAGGAAAAAGCAGCTTAAAATCAAGAGGCTCACTCAATCTTCAAAGTAAGCGCGGGGCAGCAAAATAGGAAGCGCAATGCTTCTATTTCCAGCATTGCTATTCTAATGTTAGCCAAGAGCCAAGATGTGCAACCTTACACCTCAACGCCCGCCCTCAGCCAGGGCGGATCTGCCGTCTCCACAAAAGCTATTGCTATTGGTTTGGTTTACAGATGCACTCGGAGTACATTAAAACATCAGTCTCCTATTCACAAGAGAGTAACAGTTCTATCCTGCTGCAGGCTGCAGCAGGGTAAGGGCGAGAGGCCTTTCCTCTTTACCACATCCCTCACGGGTACGGTGGGTGGGTGTCAAGGTGCAAGACCCGAAGGCCGGGGCTCTCCCCCGCCCCCCGTGCGTTGGGGGAAGCTGCTTAGCCTGTTTCCTATCTGTAAAGGTGGGTATGGGTACTGGGACTACTTATTTCATAATGTTACTCTGAGGGTTAATGGAAGTAAGGCACGGGAACTTCTCAGCAGAGTCTAGGGTACAGTAAGAGCTGTTAGGCATTTCTTATGCTCACAGTGATAGGAGGTTGAAAGCAAGATTGCAAAGCGGCCGACAATTGAGTGTTACCCCCCTAGAGCAAGCTGGGGCAGGAAGGAGGGGTAGCAGCCCGTGTGAGTTCTGCTAGGATCAGGCCCCTCTGCCGGGTACTTAGGCAAGGAATTTTGTGGCTGGAAAATGACGTGATCCAAATATCGCTGCAGAGCTGACATTTCAGGCCACATTTCTAACTACTGGAGTCTTAAACTTGTTACTTCACAAAGCATGCCTTTAATTTCAATAAAATGCCAAGAAATCACCTTTCCCCCTCCAGTGAGGATCATTCTGCCAATATTTGCCTATTGAGAGTGGAAGGAAGTATTTCTTTATTTAATCAGACGGGGGATTGAACTTGGGGTGTTCACACTGAGCTCCAGCCCCAGCTGCCTTTTTCATCTTGAGACAGGGTTTTGCTAAGTCACTGAGTTGCCGTCTGAGCCTGAGATTGCATTCCTCCTGCTTCCGCCTCCCAGAGTGCTGGTTGACAGATGTGGGTCGCCATACCTGGCAAGTTTCTAGTATTTCAAACACTGTATGTTGTAGTCTCTTCATGTTGTGCTGGGCATCAAATCAGGGCCTGACGCATGAGGGGCAAGCACTCTACCATTGAGCTCCACCCCAGCCCTACAGAGTAATTAAATTTCTTAGAGTAAAGGAACATATTTAGGAAATAATAACTCAACTTTTCTGGATTAACCCAAATTTCTTTTTCTTTTTTGAGACAGTGTCCCACTATGCAGTTCAGGCCGGCCTTGAGCTCACTTTGTAGTCCAGGCTGACCTCGAACTCACAATGATCCTCCTGCCTCAGCCTCCCGAGTGCTGGGATTACAGGCAGAGACATCAGGCCTGGCTAATCGAAATTTCAGAAGAGAAGGGAAACAAAGTTGAACTTAATTAGAAGATTCTGCCTTGCTCCCAAATGTTTATTCCTACCATTTTTGAGCTACGTCAGTACACAACTTCTCTGAGGAACGCAAGTAAACCTCACACATTCCCCAGCAGCCGAGGCCCCAAGAAGCTTCTCCTCACTACTCTTACCATAGTAGCACACTCCGGCTCACAGAGCTGTCTGGGGAAAGCAGGGCTGTGCGGCCAGGAGACTCAGGCCAGCCCCTCTGCACTGCGTCCCTGGGGAAGGAGTGGCTGAGGCACTCACGCTTTGCACTCCCTGCAGTGGATGCGAGCGCTGAGAGCACACGTGTGACTACACGAGATCTGGCTGTTAACACTGCCCTTGTGGCCCTGGCCAGAGGAGGTAAGAGAAGCTTTTCTGATGCCTCAGAACGGCAGAGTCCCCAAGGGAAAATGAATCCAGTTGATGCTAAAGGTGCTGAGCCGCTCCCCCGCAAAAAAAAAAAAACTGCAGTGTGAAGCTCTCAGGAAGAAAGGCTTTGGTAAAGCCCAGAGGTCTTCAAAATGCCCTCAAGCTACTTTCAAAGCCTGGGGAAGGTGTGTCCGGGAGCTCCCGCAGCCTGGCCTGGCGAGAGCCTCGAGCCAGAGCCCTTAGAAGGCAATGACACGGGGTCATGTGGGCCCCCGGGCAGCAGGGCAGTGACTTCGAGGAACCGGAAGGTCTGCAGTCACATGCCTGGAATCTAAGCCCGACTTTTACTTTTGTTATGGAATTGAATGCAACTGCTCAGAAATTGGAAATGTTAGGAAGTGTCTAACACTACTACGGGGGCCACTTAGAGCTGATGCACACGGGGCAGCAGGAAGACCACGCTGTGCTTGCACGCAGGGGTGCGAATCCGGGCGGGCCCCTCGCACCTGAGCGGGAACTGGCCCACCTCTCCCCTGACAAGATGCCCACCTGCCCCCTGCGCAATGCGTTTTCCACACCTTGTGTCCATGAAAAAAGGTTTCAAAACTAGTCTATTTAAACACTAAGAGTGCTACCGAAAGTGCTTGCATATGCACTGACACTGCTCGGCCTTATGGGATTTACTGTTCTTAATATCCATGCTGTTCGCCATTATTGATTCCTGATGTATTTTCCTCCCCTTGCAGACGCCAAGATGCCCCAGCACATTTATCTTACACTCATTCATTTATTCTTCTTTTCCTTTTTTGATGTTTTTGAGACAGGGTCTGGCTACGTAGCTCGAGCTGGCCGGGAGATCGCGGCATCCTCCTGCCTCGGCCTCCCGAGCGCGGGGATGACGGGCGTGCGGCACTGACACCAGGGCCACTACGCCGCGGGGCCGGACCCGGGTGCGGAGCTGGTCGGCTTGCTTCTGGAGTATCCCCGAACGCAGCCTCTCGGAGGGGCCCCGGGCAGGCGCGCGACGCCCGCGTGTGGCGGCTCCACGCGGCCCTTGGCCGAGCCCAGCGCGGCGC